ACCCCCTGATGGAGCAAATGACATACTGCTTTCCCATTAAAAGGCGCACCTCTCTTTTTATGTGCTTTTATTGCTCTTGGACCATTTTCCCCCCTTTTGCTTGAAGATCATTTTGTACTTTGAAACAAAATAACAATACTACAACCATTTGAAAATCATTTTAATGAATTTTGTTCTAAGCATTTTTTATCATGTTTCATACAATTTAAGCAAGATATCCTTACTATTATCGTTATTTACATAAATCTTAAATTAGTTCATCCCCGACTTGTGCACGTATTCAAACACTCCTACACAATACTACAATGCTATACCAACTACTTGATGAATGGTCTCCTAAAAAACCTACATTTTCTCAAACAAATTTGAATTTTTCTAAAACCTATCGCCGCAAAAAGCGCACTTCTGTCACGCGTTGAAGTTCCGTCAAGCGCATCTTACATACAGGCAAACACAACGAGGAATAGACATTTATACAGCACAACAAATTTCAGTATTTTTTTCCTTACACACCATGGGATTTTAATACCCAAAACTGTTCATACAATAACAAAAATAAGCCCGCTTCGCCAGTTTTAAAGTAACCGGCTTTTTAGGTTCGTAATGTTATAGTAGCTGGCACTTGTCACAGTATATCTAGGTGACATAAAAAAAAATCCATATTTTTGCAATTAATATTAGGTCTTAAGGCGTCTTGTATGCCGGTAATGATATGCAGTCTACATATTTATAAAGATGAATTTCACCTGCAGCTCTGTCACAACGCATAATTTATGGGAACTAGGAAGATCCTGTAACCCAAATGCATACAGGATAAGTTCGAAAGCTCACTGACGGTTTAGCCTCTCAATCTTCCAAACTTTTAAGTCTTTAGCGGTGAGTTTCTGGTCTCCAACGTTTACAGAAGATTTTGAAGCATGCGCGCCGCCCCTTGGGCGATTGGCCGGAGGATTTTTAATACTGAAGTTATTGAAACTCGGTCAAAACTGCTCCAATATTCCCGTATCTATCCCCTGCGGGTTGCTAGGCCGTGATATTGAGAGGAGTCTCCGCAGCGTTCCTGGCGCCTCTAGGATGTCTGAGGATTTGAAGACTCTGTTTGTACAGCTCCGGGTCGTGAACCGGTGCCGGAAACACACTGCTCAGCTCGCTAGCCTGGAATATAAATTAAGACATGAGAAAATCAATCCGACTTTATACTCTAAATATTCAAATCATTAATTTAATAAATTAATTTAAATCAATAATATACAATAGATAAAACAATTACATAAATCATGTATTTACTTCATCAAAAACACATTAAATCAACAATTAACATTTAAATTAAAAAGAGAAAATTATTCACCTCTTACTTTACCGATAAGTTAATTTATTTGTTCATTTTTCTGTTTTCATTAATAATTTGGCCGTCTTCTTTACCCTCATCATTATAATAATTATTTTTATTTTTCATTATTGTACCTTAGTGCTGTTCTTTACTTTAATGTGTATTCATTTCTGTTTATCATTACTTCTCATAATTGTTAAAAATAATTTTGCACTTTTCTCTAGGCATTAAAAAATATTTCTTCCACAGAAAACCTGTTTAATCTGCACAACTGTACAATGTGAAATGCCATAAATAACAACAAATTACCTTATCAAATTTACACAGCTTCCTGCGGATCTGCAGATCATGCCTGGCGCTCAGGGCCCTTTTGTAAGAATCCAAGTCCGTCAGCAACTTAGCTCGCTCCCTGCGGCGCTGAACTGCCGTGGCATGGAATGCTGCTACGTCATTCAACAGAGCAAACTTCGGATGTTCTCTCTGGCTTGTCTTGGGTTCTTCTGTGCTGCCCTCAGGTGCCTCTGCAGCTGTGCACGAGATCATATTTAAATTTTGGATAATATAATATCTTAAAATTAATCTTATGGGGCTCAGTTAAATGTCTTAATTCGTTTTTTAATGATGATAGTTAAAACGATCATCTGCCTCTCTCCTCCAAGTGATATGTAAAAAATTTGTATGACATCCAAGCAAAAAATATCTTGCTCAACTAATGACATCATATAAACCTTCCTGTCTAAAATTCATGTTTGTCCTACTTGAAAATTTAAAAACCCTTATATCAAAATATATTTATATAAATTTACATATAAATAAATAAACAAACTAGATCAGCACTCTGCCAAGGAAGTGATTTTTGATTATTATTATTGTTTATTGATTGATTATTGATCCGGATCACCACCAAAAACTAATCACTTCTAAGTTAACCCATTTCCGACCTACCCTGAACATTTCATCAAAATCGGTCTGTAACTTTTGAGTTATGTTGATGACAAACAAACAAACAGACAGACAGACAAACAGGGGTGAAAACATAACCTCCTTGGCAGAGGTAATAAATAAATAAATAAATAAATAAACAAGCTAGCAAACAAAACAACCAACTCTTACCCTCCTCTGCAGCTTCTTGCTCTAACTGTTCCTGACATGTCCTGATAATCTTATTATACAGCTGCTCTCCAGCCAGTGCCCTGGATACTCCAATACTGGCAAATACACTGGCTGGACTGAACCGTTTCACAGCCGATTTCTTCACTTCCGGCTTGGGGACCTTCTCCGCTATCAGACTGCGCCAGTCGATGTCTAATATGTCCACTGGGGCTATAAAAGAAGTGGGTGGACATGAGGGAGAGCAGATTATTAAACACAGGTGTGAAACAAATAGTTAAAAAAAAAAACAGAATGATTGATTGCATTGACTGTGTGTGTGTGTGTGTGTGTGAGAGAGAGAGAGAGAGAGAGAGAGAGAGAGAGATAGAGATAGAGAGAGAGAGAGAGAGAACTTGGCACTTAGTTATAATATATACAGTATAGACAGCTTAAATCCTCTGCAGCAGACTTGTTATTCCAATTTTTTGGGGCTATGAGGGCCATGTTTTGTAGAACATTGTCATAGCAAATCCATCAAATGAGAAAGTCATATGTGCTTGCAAATATTGGACAACCAACTACACAAAGTGAGTAAGTGATCACTTTAAACTCTTTGTTAAATGCAAATTAGACAGCTCAGAGTCTAAGCAGGTTTTCCTATAACTGACATACAACTTATGTCTGTCCATATTCTTGTGAGGAGAGAGAGAGAGAGAAAGAGAGAAAGACCAACCTGGTGCACTTTCCTCCTCTTGTTCAGCCTCCTCAGTGGCCAGTATCTCATCCAGCTCGTTGTCTGAGATCTCGTCATACTCCAAGTTACCTCCCGCAGTGCTCTGCTTGTCCTCGCCTAAAATTAACATCAGTCCTTGATATTAGTTCTTTTACAAAGTTAACACTTAATTTCTTCAAAATTCTAGAACTGGGTTACATGCTCATTATCAAAAATAATATTGTTTCTTGCCACCATGATTATTAATTTTATAGAATGTACCTTCTTGGTTTGCAGAGACATCTGGTGGTAAATCTTTCATGTCACCCTCAGTGCTGCCCCCTGCAGGTGGTGACATGCCATCTTTACTTGCTCTGACTTCAGCCTCCTGTTTGGGTGGAATTTCATCAGGAGGTCTTTCTCTTTCAGGAAATCTAGACGGCTCATTCCTACCCCTATATGAAGAATAATTTCAAATTCCAGAAGGTAATTAAAATAAGAGAGAGAGCTCGGAGAACAGAAATATGTCATGCAAACAAGCAATAAAAATTTCACTTAAAAAAAAAAAAAAAACTTGACAGGTCCAGATACAATCGAAACTAGCTTCACGTTAACACCATGACCATTTCTTTCCCATAAAAAAAAAAAAAAAAAAAAAAAAAAAACCATGGTGAAAAATGTCTTCAGACTTTGGGAAAAAACATTTGAGATCATTTATGTAATCTTATAAAATGCTATCAATGAAATAAATAGCATTATTCTGTCAGATATTTTTAAAATCTATGAAAAAAAAAAAACTTAATNTGTAATGATATGCAGTCTACATATTTATAAAGATGAATTTCACCTGCAGCTCTGTCACAACGCATAATTTATAGGAACTAGGAAGATCCTGTAACCCAAATACATACAGGATAAGTTCGAAAGCTCACTGACGGTTTAGCCTCTCAATCTTCCAAACTTTTAAGTCTAAAGCGGTGAGTTTCTGGTCTCCAACGTTTACAGAAGATTTTGAAGCATGCGCGCCGCCCCTTGGGCGATTGGCCGGAGGATTTTTAATACTGAAGTTATTGAAACTCGGTCAAAACTGCTCCAATATTCCCGTATCTATCCCCTGCGGGTTGCTAGGCCGTGATATTGAGAGGAGTCTCCGCAGCGTTCCTGGCGCCTCTAGGATGTCTGAGGATTTGAAGACTCTGTTTGTACAGCTCCGGGTCGTGAACCGGTGCCGGAAACACACTGCTCAGCTCGCTAGCCTGGAATATAAATTAAGACATGAGAAAATCAATCCGACTTTATACTCTAAATATTCAAATCATTAATTTAATAAATTAATTTAAATCAATAATATACAATAGATAAAACAGTTACATAAATCATGTATTTACTTCATCAAAAACACATTAAATCAACAATTAACATTTAAATTAAAAAGAGAAAATTATTCACCTCTTACTTTACCGATAAGTTAATTTATTTGTTCATTTTTCTGTTTTCATTAATAATTTGGCCGTCTTCTTTACCCTCATCATTATTATAATAATTATTTTTATTTTTCATTATTGTACCTTAGTACTGTTCTTTACTTTAATGTGTATTCATTTCTGTTTATCATTACTTCTCATAATTGTTAAAAATAATTTTGCACTTTTCTCTAGGCATTAAAAAATATTTCTTCCACAGAAACCTGTTTAATCTGCACAACTGTACAATGTGAAATGCCATAAATAACAACAAATTACCTTATCAAATTTACACAGCTTCCTGCGGATCTGCAGATCATGCCTGGCGCTCAGGGCCCTTTTGTAAGAATCCAAGTCCGTCAGCAACTTAGCTCGCTCCCTGCGGCGCTGAACTGCCGTGGCATGGAATGCTGCTACGTCATTCAACAGAGCAAACTTCGGATGTTCTCTCTGGCTTGTCTTGGGTTCTTCTGTGCTGCCCTCAGGTGCCTCTGCAGCTGTGCACGAGATCATATTTAAATTTTGGATAATATAATATCTTAAAATTAATCTTATGGGGCTCAGTTAAATGTCTTAATTCGTTTTTTTAATGATGATAGTTAAAACAATCATCTGCCTCTCTCCTCAATGTGATATGTAAAAAATTTGTATGACATCCAAGCAAAAAATATCTTGCTCAACTCATGACATCATATAAACCTTCCTGTCTAAAATTCATGTTTGTCCTACTTGAAAATTTAAAAACCCTTATATTAAAATATTTATATAAATTTACATATAAATAAATAAACAAACTAGAAAAGCACTCTGAAAGCCCAGACCTCTGCCAAGGAAGCGATTTTTGATTATTATTATTGTTTATTGATTGATTATTGATCCGGATCACCACCAAAAACTAATCACTTCTAAGTTAATCCATTTCCGACCTACCCTGAACATTTCATCAAAATCGGTCTGTAACTTTTGAGTTATGTTGATGACAAACAAACAAACAGACAGACAGACAAACAGGGGTGAAAACATAACCTCCTTGGCAGAGGTATTAAACAAATAAATAAATAAACAAGCTAGCAAACAAAACAACCAACTCTTACCCTCCTCTGCAGCTTCTTGCTCTAACTGTTCCTGACATGTCCTGATAATCTTATTATACAGCTGCTCTCCAGCCAGTGCCCTGGACACACCAATACTGGCAAACACACTGGCTGGACTGAACCGTTTCACAGCCGATTTCTTCACTTCCGGCTTGGGGACCTTCTCCGCTATCAGACTGCGCCAGTCGATGTCTAATATGTCCACTGGGGCTATAAAAGAAGTGGGTGGACATGAAGGAGAGCAGATTATTAAACACAGGTGTGAAACAAATAAGTTCAAAAAACAGAATGATTGATTGCATTGACTGAGAGAGAGAGAGAGAGAGAGAGAGAGAGAGAGAGAGAGAGAGAGAGAGAGAGAGAGAGAGAAAGAGAGAGAGAGAGAGAG